TTAAAAGCACACTTCCCACGTGGACAAGGCGTTCGGCTTCAATTCTGTGGATCACTGACGCAACAAGGAAAAACCAATGAAAACACTTCACTACGTCAGTCATATTAGTGACCTCTACTAATCTACCCCACCCTTGAACTTTTTCCGTTTTCCTTGCGTAATGATAAACTTTATTCGTTTGTCATAGCAAATAAGTATATTCTGCGTTCACATAATACACATGGACTTTACTTCAGAATCACCGAAGACAAGCTTCCAAACTCACTGATCATCTTTTGTCATGGAGAAAGAAAATGACTTTCTCTTATTCATTTAAATAAAGAGTTTTGAAGTTTAACCTGCTGCATTCTGGTTATTCTCTTCATTATCAGATCCAGAACACGGAAGTGAGTTAAGATCCAACACAGGCACATGCTGAGCCCTTTGAGTAAGATGACCAACATCACTGTGAATTTCCTCTCCTTCCTTAGGTAAAACTTTTGATGGATCTCCACATTCTATTTTGTGTCCCAATTTGAAGATCATTTGAAGATCATTTGACAAGGACGGGATTGATGCCAGCTTAGGGTTTCTACATGACAATGGGCAGCAACAAAGCAAGTTAAAATGACCTTTAATGAAAGCAAGATAACAACTATCAAACTTGAGTGCAGAAGAAATCATTGTGTCTTTGGGAAGACATCAACGTCATGCTAACCTGAATTTGAATTTCTAACCCGTCTTGACTCTTGAAGAGTAAGCATATCACAATACATCATGATGTTTGATGTAATTGTCAGACAATTACAGAGCAGAAATCACTTCCACAAGGAGTAGGCCTTAGCCAAAAGTTAAATACTAGAGCTTAATTTGTGAATGTTCAACAAAAATTCAATTGTTAAATGGGAGAAGCTTCAATGACGTAGATGGAGATGTTTTGATTGGGGCCAAAGACAACTTTTAAGGCTCTTAGAATACGACTGGTGCCACAAATCAATACCAATTCTGGTTTATCGCCCACTAGTATCCTTTCAGAATCATCATGTAAAAGAAGCATTAATAACATGAAAGTTGAATTTTGAAGAATTCGTCCTGAAACAATCTTGAAAATAATTTTGTCATCAACTCTTATACATTCAAGCCATATCACTGGTGAAATGGATGAGGTATAGAAGAATCAAGTTCCAAGATATGGAACAACTTGGTGGATGTACCCTATATTTTCTTAGAAATACAAACACCTTAATCAATCAATTTAGCAAGTATACAGTAAATGTTCAGCCAGCTCACAAGGTTATGGAGCCATAAATGACATCAACAAGTTTTCCTACTGAATAAATCAGCCTTTTAGTTTCACTGTCTGCCTTTTACAGGAACAAACGTAAGGGGAAAAATGTGCATTTTTACCATGTTCAGTCACCCCTGTTGCTATTTTTCTCAATGTTAGTTTCATCAATTCATTAAATTTCTGAAGTCCCACATCCAAGAACCATTGCTAACAGCAGCGAATTGCACAGCGGGTCAAAATAAACAGTTCTTGTAAAATATAAATAATCAGAAAATTAATTAGACTTAATCAGGGATAAATATTATTAACAAAGAAAAAAATATAGGAGATGGAGAACTCAGTAAATTTGTGATACCTAGTAATTGACAAATCCTCCGGAATCATTTCCAGATTAGGCTGCTTGTCTAAGTCCATGTTAAACACATAAATGCAATCCCAAACACCATTAGCCATCCCTGCAAAATGTGCTGAGACATCAAATTTCTGCAGGGTGAAAACTTTGCCAAGGAACTTCATCTCCTCATATTCAAGATTCTCAAGAAACAGATACTCCCTCTCTACGACCTCCTCTGCCCCTCCCTCCAATTGGTACACATGAATACTCCTGATCAGCTCTGAGAGAAAAGTTCAAAATTTTCAAATAAAAAAGAAAAAGAAAAACATACATGCAACATGAAAAAGTTGGCAAACATATTTTATCTGCATATTTAAGGATATCCCAAATGGAATTTTTTTTTTTTTTAGTTAATCATGCAAAACAATTCAGAACCAATGAAATTGAATAACCGATGAAATCGAATAAAGAAAAAAAAATAAAGAGTGAAAATGAAAAAGACTAACCTTTGTGAATGCGGTTTCGAAAGACAACAAGTGCTTTGAGAGGCGGGGATGCTTGGAGTGAAGCCATGGAGAAGAGAGTGGGGAAGTGATATTAGTAACTGTTTTGGGAGAAATGAGAGAACAGAGAAGAAAAGAAAAAGATGAAGTAGTAGTAGTAGAAGAAGAAGAAGAGGAAGAGGCTTAAAGAGTTAAGAAGAGGCTTGCATGAGCCTCAGTTGTCACTTCCAAGAGGACAGAGAGAAGCAGAGTGGAGAAAGGTAGTCAACATATTTATTGCAACCTTTTTTCTTCTTTTTTTTTTTTTTCTGTGTGCTGTATTTTGTTTTCTTTTCTAACCTCTTTTGTCCCTTGGTGCAATGAAGGCATGGCATTGAAAGCTGATGAAGAGCTCATCTTTAAAACTACTTACTACCAAACACTGAATTTCACTGGATTTTGATCCCTTTTTACCCGTCTTTGCAAAGATTTTTCCCTTTTCGAGACTAAGGATACGAGTGAGGAGTATCTACTGCCTAATGCACAGAGTCAGGTTTTGATAAATGTGTGTGTGTGTGGTGGGCCCGCGCGGGGAGGGGGGGGGGAGCTATTTGATTGTATTTATGGAACGTCTATAATAACATAAGCCACAAGCAAAAATGTAGTTATCTTTTAATTTATCTAAAATACCCTTATTCAATGTAGATTGTTATTAGTACTCCCTCCGTCCTACTTTGATAGTCATGTATTCCTTTTTCATTTGTTCCAAATTGTAGTCCACTTTCCAATTGAAGAATGTAGTTGTATTTTAATTTTTCTAAAATACCCTTATTCAATGTAAGTAGTTATTACTATAAACCTACCCCATTTAATGAGAGTTGATTCTTTTTTTACCATCAATTAAAGTTCCCATAAAGTTGTACCATATTTAATGTGACGGTATTTTAGGAAAATAGCAATCTAAATTTACTTTTTCAACAAAGTTAATTATTTTTTTTCTTAAATTGTGTGAAAAAAGAAACATGACTATCAAAGTGGGACAGAGGGAGTATAAAGTATTTTATTTAATATAGATTGTTATTGAATATAACCTACCCTATTTAATGTAAAATGAGGATGGATTCTTTCTTGATCATCAATTCAAATTCCCATAAACTATTAATTCAAGTTCCCATGAATAATTAATATAAAGTTGTACTCTATTTAATGTAAGAGTATTTTAGAAAAATAGAAATTTAAATTTATTTTTCCAACAAAGTTAATTTCTTTTTCTTAAACTGTGTGGAAAAAAAAAACTAAAACTATCAAAATGGGACAGAGGGAGTAACATAATCCACTAGGATATTACATTCAACTGGAACGTCTAAAAAGGATAATTAGTAGTACATTAATGAAATAGAAAAAAGTAATTAAATACTAGAGCATTTATTAGTCAAAAAGCATATGGTAAAGATTAAATTTAGTCATGTATCCGTAACCTTATTTTTGGTGGAGGTTTCTTCTAGTACGAAAGATGTGATTTCGAGAGTCATAGTCACATATACGAATTGAAATTATGAGATTTTAAATAATTATTGCATAATTGTCTATCTAATAAGAGGTGAATATGCCATCATTATTCTTGAGAGATTCAACATGTAATACCTGTCTACGCTAGTAATTTTCCCAGGAAAGTTGGGAACTGATATCGAATTTCCTTTCCCACAAGTTGTAGTAGTTCAATAATGCCTTTAAAAGCTTGTGGCTTTATGAGATTACTGCTTTCTCTAACAACGACGACCTTTAAAGGCGTGTTCTTGCACTAGTTCCCAGATTCTCATGCCTTGAAACCGTCTCTTGAAAGCTGCATTATTCCCAAATGTAAATTCTGAAGGCGCAGGCTCTGGCCTCCAAGTATCGAGAGTCTTGTTAGATTTGCCAACAAAGGCGTGCTTTCCCCGCTTCACCCCTTTTTGAATTGAACTTTTCCCGGTTTGAAGGAAGGTTTTATCCAAGACCAAGTGTTAAATATTTCTTCATTCTGTTCCTCGGTCGAATTAATCCTCTTCTTCATGTTTAGAGTAGGAAATGAACATCTCTGAAGATGTTCACATTTTTCTTTTTCTTTTTTAAAAAATAATAATAAAAACTGGCGTTGTTTGCTTTTGCTTCCCTTTTGAGATGTGGATAGGTACGATGCTCTCTCTGAAAAGATATCTAAATTAAGGCAAATTCTTCATGTATCATCTAAAACCAATTTGTGGAGAGGAAACAAATGTGCAAAATCGATGCTTTTCTAATGATCAAATGACTTTCAACATTTTGCCAAATTGGGCAAAATATGGATAGATAGTAACACTCAATGAATCCATATTTTTAGTAAATGGTTCTTGTAGAATGTGAATGAAAAAGAAAAGCTCAACTTCCAAATGTGCATAGAGGAGTCCCAATCCCATTATTGCCTTGAAAAGATCGTAAAGATGGAAAAATGACCCCTTGCACCAATGCACCAGCTTCAAAATCACAACTTTTTAGCAGCTTCACTTCTCCGATTACATTTTCGAGGCTCGAAGGGCCAATCCCAACAAATGGAAGATCATTAAGTCCTGGCCCAATAATCAAGAGCCTGGAATCAAAATGGCTAAGCGGGCTTTCTCACAAGCCAGTTCCTCACCTGCTGGCAACATCACGGGGCTGGACCTTCCACTGTTAGTGTTGGATTAAATTTGACAGTCCGACAGGCAATCCTCTGCGCCTCTCAATATCATTTTTACTTTTTATTTGGTCAACCAGCTGACTCTTTTATTTTGGGTCAATGCCGATAAATTTCCTCAGAAAATGTCTAATTAAATCAATTCACCTCCTCTTACAACAAATTTCTCAATCAGCTACTGCAGAGCCCAATCTCAGGCTAAATTTGAACATGTGCAGTTGACCATTTTCGCGCGACAGTTTGGATAGCTATTATTTGGTACATCACAAACACAATTTTCAACGCACCTTTTTATCTCATATACATCATATCATAGAAAGTACTACAATAATTATTTCAAATAATGTCAAATCCAAACACAAGTGTTGATACACTCGAGTACTAGGCCAGATTGAGCGCAGTGCGTAGCGAACCGTTTAGGCAGACATAGCATCTCAATTATTATCGTACGTATCTTTTTTGTTCTGCCAAACTAGAAATGCGTTAAAATTTGATCGAGCCAGTTGCTTCATTATACAAGAGACTAAATATGGGCAGGTTGGGACTCACCTGCGCTAAGAATGAAGCCAGGTGACAAACTGCAAGAAAAAGGAAAACAAAATCATTGGCATTAAAGATGAAACTGTCCAATAGTACAAGTATATATATAACTCCACAACTCAGGTGATTCAAATACGATGTCACACAAGATCTACATCAGGCGGACTTTTATCATCTCCCAGCTCCAACAAAGCGGGAAAGGACAAAATTTTGATAAGTAAAAGAACAAAACGGAGCAAAAATTACAACATTATGGTGCTTATCCTACGGAGACAAGCATCAAAAATTACCCCGTGGTAAACTAGGGAGGGAAGATCCTTGGTTTTTGTTTTCTCAGGATCCTCATTCTCGCTAGAAAAAGGTCAAAACACCTAGGAGTCTAATTGCTCAAACGCGCCATCTTCTGCAACCTCAATGGATGAGGTCGCCTCTGGAAAAAATTCTTCGTTGGGATACATCTTGTGAAAAAGCTGCCATTAACAACACAAGTGTCCTACTTCAGTAAACATGTTCATGAGCAAAACAAAGAATTCATCTTTAAGTGTCAAGAGAGAAATATTAAAATGGCAGTTTTCCTAAATCTAAATAGAGCATCTTATACCTTAGTCGTAGCATCTAGAAGGTTGTTGTATTGTAGATTCCCATCAGGCATAAAGGTTGAACTCACACAACCAAATGCACCCTACAAATTACAAACAAATAAGGGCCATTTGCTCAAGAACTTAATGCACATTCTCAATCAAAATAATATAGGGATATGGAAACCAGCAGAGAAGAACTGGAAAAACAAATGACAAATACTTCCAAGCATAACCATTAACACAATGAGAATCTCAACGAGTAGCATAGGAACAAAATACCAACCATTGTGAGCTCCTGTATATAAACTGTACTCCACAGTAAACTGGGTTTCAATCTTAACACTGTATTTTCACCATGAGAATCAGTAGAGTTTTCCTCGGGTTTCCCAGAAATAGGAATTGAAAACAAAGCATTCATTGCTTCATTTACCATCTTCTTCCCTTGTCCAACATCTTTGCATAGAGTCGATAGGTAAACGACAAACCTGAACCAGGGAAGGAAGAGCATCAATCAGTAATGCACTCAAAATCTCTGAAAGACTCATTAGAGGGCAAGGTAACCATGCAAGGGCTAAGTGAGACAAATTTATTCGGTAACTTACATGCCAGAGGGACAAGCAGCAACATTGCTACTCAATTGGAAAACTCGGACGGATGTCATCTGCTCTGCAAACAAAGCTGGAGACAGAAAGTTAAATGTAAGCTAGTTAACTAAAATCAAAAACAAGAAATGACAAGATAAATGCAGAACTCACATCGAGGGGGAAAGAACACCAGACAATTTGCAACATCCAGTTTTAGGGAACTTTTTGTGATGCATATTCCCCTAACCACCTTTACTTTTTCATCTAGCAGGCCAAAATCATGGCCACCATCTGGCTCAGGATACAAGTAAGAAGGAGCGAAACCTGATGGAAGAATGAATGAGGGATCAAGGATCAGCTTATGGCTGAATAATTCTTGACCAGAAAGCAACTTAACACCCTTATAATTCCCAACTTCCTGCAAAATGATGAATACAAATTCATACCTTTCTCATCATTTTTTAGACAACTATATATTCCAACAGGGGAAAAATATCAATTACCCAAAAATAACATAAAATTCAATTAGACCTTATCTGCTAGTAGACCAACCACAGGCATTCGCAGGACCTGCATGAAAATTTTGAAACTTGAGGTGAGCGTGGGATTTCAACAAAATAATAAGAACTCTATAAAACTCACAGCAATTAAGCCCTGAAACAGAATAGATTTAAATAAAAATAAAAAGTACAGAATGAAGTAGGATAAGAATAGTAGATACACTTTGGGAAATCTTTCTCCTGTCATTACGTTTTCTCTTCCTAAACTGATCTATTCTTTTCCCTTCCACTTTTGGTGACGAAAACCAAATAAAAAGAAATCTAGCACAAAATAAGCAAACCAGAGTTGCTCAAAAAATATGTTTAATCTATCAGGCAGTACTTACATGGATAGAACCTTTAACGGCAGCACGACGGCAAAATGCTTGTAGAAGTTCTCCTTGCCCGTAGAGTGGATATATCATGGCACCAGGTGCATTAGGAAACCTAAAAGCATAATACGAGCACAAAGCACCCATTAATGTGAACCTTAAGGAGCGCACAGAATCAGCACATAATATCTCTATTCTTGGTTGACAAGAAAAGAAAACTAGTTGCAATAAAAAGTTGAGACAACTTTGCTTCAAGACAGAAGCCAATCATTGCACCTAGCATTGTGGTAAATTCATACGATTAATCTTGATAAAGTAGAGGATGCTTATTGAAGTCAATGTCCTGTAAGCTCTCCACCTCCAATATTTCAACATGAAAGAATCTGTTCCTATCACCATATATAAGAAATGTCAAGCAAACAGGGTACACGAAATAACCTGCCTCCAGATTTATGATAGAGTATTAAAAGATCGATTCCGTCTTTCGTCTCGAGGACGTCCTTGCAGACTTCCAAGTTGTCTTGTTCATAATGTGCCATCGAAATTGCATACAAAATAATCCTAGACAAGCAGAAAGGTTGTGTAAAACATATGCTAGAAATGCAACTCAACTTTAAGTGAAGTGGGAAAATAAAAAGGGGAAGGAAAAGGCCTGGCAGAAAAAAAGAACAAAGATATAATTTAAGAACTTTTGAGCATTACAAAATGCAAAAAGGCATCAATAGTTACCACAGGAGGATCAAGCATAATCAGATCACGTAATAACAGCTTTTTAACAAATGGATCCAAGCATATGTCCAATCATTTCCAAATGAAGCTTATGAAAAACCAATATAACACACTCAAAGTTAAATCCTTTCCGGATCACAATTAGAACCAAAACAGCAACAAAAAGAAAAGGACAAAATTCCAGGATATAAGAAATGCAAATTAAAATTCAAGTTGGATTCGTAACTAGCCTAATATTTCGTAAGCATATGAAAGCATAATGAAAGTGTAAATAAACAAAGCGCTCTCACTAACAGAGAGAAAGAGCAAGTGCAAGAGCAAAAGGCGAATCGGATCAGTACGATTTTAGCTTCTGCGACAACCCAATCTTCCGGCTCAAAAACTCCACAAATGGACTCTTTAAATCTTCCTCAGAAATTTTCTTGCTTTCCTCGCCACTCCCATCACCAAAATGATCCTGAACAAGCTTGAAGAACCTCATCAACTGATTCTTCTCTGTAAAGCTCAAGCTCTTATCCTTGAATATGGCACTTCGCGAATCTGGTACATTCCGCAAATTCCCCTCCTCACCCTCACAAATAAAGCTAGCATCTACACTCTTGAACTCCATGGAGTGATTAATCTCCGTTTTCAAAAACAAGTCGATCATCTTATCGGCACAGAACAAGACCCTAGGCCCTGCTAAATCGAGGTTGAATTGGTTTGACTTCTGGAGAATTTCGGGGGAAAACACGCTGGTTTCGATGGAGGAGTAGACAGGGCTAGTGGTGAGGGGAAGAACGTTGAATTCGCCGGAGGAGCTGGGTTGGGTTTCGGGAGCGGAGGGTAGGGAGTGGGTCTGGAGGAATTCGGTGAAGTCGTGGAGATGTAGAGAGGCGAAGTGGCTGCCGTAGTAAGGGTTGGGGTCGAGGTGGAGGACGGTTTTGCCGGAGCTGGACGCAGCGGCGGCGAGGATGGATTCCGGGAGGCCTGTGCCGATGACGATTAGATCGAAGTTGGCGGGTTCTATCTGAGGATACGACATCGCTTCGTCCATGACAAAGGAGGGAAAAATTTTTATCACCAAACTAGCGAAGCACCAGACTTTATGACTTTATTCCCTCGCATTTCTTTTTCTCTCTCTTTTTTTTTAACTTGCGAATCAATTTTTCTTTTCTTGGATACGGCATACCGCATATCATATATTTCCTTTATCCATCCTTCCATAAAAACATAAATCTGGATACTATTTTGTTTTGTTCCTTCTCCAATATAATTATATCATTGAGTTTCTTTTTATTTTTTTCGTTCACACAAAATTATCTTCTTTGCTTTTATCTTCTTTTTGCTCCTAATCATTTCATCCCAAAAATATACTTCATTCTTTTACATCTAAGAAAATTTTCCGAGGAGAATAGTGTATCCACACTTTGGCCACGGAGTATTTCACTCTCATACCATCGGCAATCTTTTGCATCTAGTAACTAGTTTCCTTTTAGTGGAGATTTTTCTATGGCGATTCTTAAAAATAAGCATTCCAGTTAGGAGTAAGGGACCCTATGAAACACTTGTCAAAAGTGAATAACTGGAACTTGATTCAATTCGAGCTTTGTTGCTGCTTTCATTTGTTCATTTGTAGTGAAGCAGTTATGTTGTACCGGTTCGAAGCACGCTGTTCAGAGAAACTAATGTTCAACCGCGCTGCAGCAAAAGCGAAAAAATTCAGCTGATTTCCTCAACTTACCCAACATTTAGCTTTTGATGTATTATAGAATTGGTTAGATCCCCAGTGTTTTATGTTTTATGTTTGATGTTTTCTCCGAATCCTCACTCGAGCAAAAATCCCAACACTTTCGCTCGGATGCACCATCTTCTATGACCTCATTCGATGAGGTTTCCTTTGAAAGAATTCTTCATCAGGATACATGCTCTGAAATAGCTGACATGAAAAGTACAGAAGTCCCCATCTCAGTGAGAGTCTTAACATGCAGCAGAAAAGGTGTCGAGATTGGCGAATAATACCAAGACAATTTTCGTTAAACTAACTAAAATATCACCTACCTTTTCTGATGCATCTACAAGATTGTCGTGTTGCAAATTCCCGTCAGGCATAAAGGCTGAAATAACACCATCAAATACACCCTAAAAACCAAACAGAAATAAGGGCGATCAGCTGGAGAATTCAGTGCATATATCAGACCAGGAAAAAAAAAAAAAGACATGGAAACAAAGGGGAAAAATGTGAGAAACAAATGAATAGAGTAATTAGTTGCCAAAGTAAAGATGCGATGATTTAAAAGGTAAAAGAAGGAAAGCAGTAAGACACAAGCCACAGTTTGCTCTTGTATATACACAGAACTCCAAAGCAAAGTGGGTTTTACTTTCACTACTGTATTGCACTCTGATGATCCTCAGAATCTTCCTCAGAGTTTCCAGAAACAGGAACAGAAAACAAATCATTTATGGCTGTAGTTAGTAATTCTTTCCCTTGAGCTGCATCTTCACAAATTGTTGATACATAAACGACAAACCTGTAGCATGGGAGCAACAAAACGAGATCAAATTTGACTCCACAGAGCAGAAACCTAGTTAAACCAACTTTCAAGATTCAAAAGGCTGAAGACTGATGAGACAAAATTTGTCATTAGGAATCTTTGCCCGACAGCCTAAACCATATTTTGGCACCTATTCAATGTGTCTTAGAAGATGAGTTGTAGAAAATCTTAATTGCACTGTGATTGGGCTTTTCATTTTCCCCCTTCATAAAATCAACAAACTAATGCACGAGTAGCTTACATGCCAGAAGGACAAACATTCGTATAACTGCTCAAATGGAGGACTCGGATTGATGTCAGCCGCTCCGGGAACAAAGCTAGACACAGAAAGTTTGGTCATAACTACCATACAAAACCAAAGACACGTTAAAGGAAAAAAAAAAAAAAAAAAAGATTGAATGCAGGGCAGACCTTGAGGGGGATATAGCAGCAAACAATTTGCTATATCTGGTTTTAAGGAACTTGCTGTGATGCATACTCCCCCAAGTACCTTGTCTTTGGCATCCTGCGGCCTAGAATCAGGATTATAGGAGCTAATCCTGAGGGAAGATTAAACGAAGGAGCAAGGATGAGCTGGTGGCTGAATAATTCTTGACCACAAACCAACTTAACACCCTTATAATCCCCAACAACCTAAAATATATGCAAAATGACAGATATAAGCTCCTGTAGTTCTTATAACCAGATATGTTTACTGCAAAATCCAGAAGAGAAAAATAAAATACAACAAAAACAAGAAACTTGGTCAAACCTTGTCTGTAAGTAGACCAACCACAGACATCCCTTGACCCTGTTTGAACAATTGCAAACATAAGATAAGCATAAGGGTTCAACAAAATAACAAGCAATCCTCTAGATGACTCATAGAAATTCTGCCCCTCAGCAAATTGGATTAAGAAAACAGAACAAACAAGAAATAATGGGAGTAGATGATATTTCTTCTACGACAGTGATGTTTGTCTTTGCCTAGTTATCTTCCCTTTTCCCTTGTACATGGGGTAGACCATAGCCCAAACCAAAAAACTTAAGCTAACTGGTAACCGAAAAAATCCACCACAAATAAAAATGTAGCACAAATCATCAACTAGAGTTGTCTAGATGAAATACTTAGCGTAAGTTTTAGCACTTACACCAAGACAATCCTTGTCAGCAGCATGAGCACGACAGAAAAATGCTAGAAGTGGAATTACGCCTTGCCAGCAAGGTGGATATATCATGCCACCAGGTGCATTAGGAAACCTTTACAAACGTTGATAGTACTATGACATACCTTAAGTATCAACTTTCAAAATTGGAAAAGGAAAATATAAAATAAAAGTACTAAAACATAGGGCTTTCGTTTCTATTGACAAGACAAGAACAATAAATGACAATTTTGCTTCAAGACAGAAGCCAATTACCAACAGATAACAGTGCCAAATTGATAGACAAATTAATCTCAAACAAATTCTGCTTGCGTGTATCTCAATTGGATATGAAAAGAACTGCATTTTACTGAGGAATCAATTTATCAAATGTATATTAAACAGGGGAATGGATCTGTTCTAATATGGACATGCATCATGTATGTACAACAGTAAAAACATGCAAGAAACGAGGTAAAAAATATCCTGGCAACTGATGAATGACAAAGCATTAAGCGATCTATTCCATCTTTTGTTTTAAGAATGTATTTACAGTCTTCCACATTGTCTTGGTCATAATCTGCCATGGCAATTGCATACAGAATAATCCTAAACAGGTGAAAGAAACTGAAGTAAAAAATGCTGAATGCAGGTAAAATCAAAAAAATAACTCAACAACAGTGATTATAAAGATATGAAATTCTGAACTAACTGAGCAAAACATGAGCTACAGAGTAGAAGTTTTAGCTTTGAGAAACCTAATTATTTTGTTATTCTTGAACATAATCTACAAAGAAAAGAGCAAGGGCTAAATGGGTATCAGTTTGTATGATTTTAGCTCCGAAAACGGACTCTCTAAGTCCTCCTCTGGAATTTTCCTATCTTCTTCGTCATTCCCATGTCCAAAATGCCCCTGAACCAGCTTGTAGAACCTCATCAGCTGATTCTTCTCTGCAAAAGTCAAGCTCTTATCTATAAATATGGCGCTCCGCGAATAAGGCACAACATTCCTCAAATTTTTACCGCCATCTTCATCAGTCCTACATATGAAGCTCGCATCCATTCCAGGCAATTGAACCTAATGAACTCGTCTATATCCACATTTAAAATCCTATCAGTTTTCAAAATCAATTCCATCATAGGATCAGCACAGAATAAAACCCTAGGCCCCGCTAAATCAACGCTGAATAGTCCATAATTGTCAATAATTTCTGGGGAATATACGCTAATTTCGACAGAAGGAGTACATGGGGCGAGTGTTCAGAGGAAGGACGTTGAATTCGCCGGAGGAGGATCCGGGTTTGAGTTCGGGTTGCGGGCATGATTTGAGTGGGTGTGGAGAAAATCAGTGAAGTCTTGCAGAGGGAGAGAGGCGAAGTGGCCACCGAAGAAAGGGTTATGGTCGACGATGAGGACGGTTTTGCCGGCGAGTATGGTTTCTTCGAGGCCGGAACCGATCACAATTAAGTCGAAGTTGGTAGGTTGGACGGAGGAAGAAATTTTTGGGAAATCTGTTGAAAATTGCCGGGAAGGGGGAGGAGACCGTTAACTTGGGACTTAAGGAAGATGTTGGATTTTGGAGGGAAAGTGTATATAAGGTAGGACTGGTTCCACACGACTACATGTGATATTATTGGATTACGAATCTTAGGGCATGTTTTGTTTGCTTAAGATTTTACAAAAACTAATTAGAATTAGTCAAAACCTTTTTAGTAAATTATGAATTTTAGATTTTTTGACTTTTAAAAAAATCTAAAATCTGTGTACAAAAAAATCTAAAATAAAAAGAACATCAGCGGAAAAAAAAAACTAATTATCCAATATCAAAATGTATATTTTGGTGAAATAATTGATTAAGAACAAGCCTTCCAATATCAAAATCAAGTAAAATAATCAACGTAAAACAAGCACTCTAATAGAGAAATTGGAAGAAGTATGCATGCTCTATCTCATGAATTCTGATTTTTACCACCAAGGGAAAAAATATTCATGCAACCTTTCCCTTTAACCTTATTTTATCTAAGGAGATGGCACAACTTTCATTCTAATTACAATTATGCTAATTTAATTGCTTTGTGCTTATCATCATACTACTAGAAACGTAGTTCTTGACGAGAATATTAACCTTTTTTTTTTTATATATAAGTGAGAGGTCTTGAATCTTGAATCCAATACCGCTTAATTACAAATTTTCCCACTTTATCTATATATTTTTTTTACGTTTAGATTGTTTTCTTTTAAGCCAACGTCTACACTGCCTATGCGACGAATTGAGTGGAGGAAGCCATTTGCGTTAAGTTGACTGTGCTTCTCTCGCATAGACTTTTAGGTATCGGATATAGACTTGAGGAAGCAAAAGGTGAACTTGGACTTGTTCTGTTTAAAATTTATTGAGTACTGGCAAACCCGTCTTAATGGACTGGCTGAACCTTTTTGCAAACTCTTTGGTAGAAAGATTGCGATGAGGAAGACTTCCCAGTTCCCTCACTCCCATCCCAATCAAATATTTCCGTAGGCCGACAAACGACGTCTCTTTCGCTGAACCGACCCGAAAGCTTACGCTTTCACATCTTTTCTATTCGCTCCTGACGGATAAAGCTACCATTTAATTCTGATTCTATACTTTTTAAAAAACAAATAAGTTTTTTTTTTTACTACACATCGACAGAAGAAACCTCATATTCTTTCTGTCATTGCTAAACCTAAACTCGACTTTTAAGTACACTTTATAGATAAAACTGTGGTTCTTTCACAATTCCAAGGAAGATTATGAGAAATTCCTGAAATCGACGCTAGGTTATTTTTTCGTGTCAGGGGTTTAGTATTCAAATCCTATAACCAGGACAGGAAATTGCAGGGTGTGAGAAAGGTGCGAGGAGGAGGGATGGAAAAGTATATTATAATAATAAAAAAGTATGAGCCCGCCCATCCGAGGCCTCTACCAGCTCACAATAAATTGACGTCTGTATCAGAAGCTCGGCGGTTGGGTGGAAGATTTGACCGAAAAGTACAATGTGGCCGAAGTCAATCAAGTAAACAACCGAAGTTACATGTTTAACTATCCATCTGTTGCTCCTCGAAGGAAAGAACAAAACAAGCTCGCTGGACCTTCCGGACCTTGTGGGCTTGCTACATAACATGTGCGTAATAAGGGCCGCCCGACTGCCAAATATCAAAATTCAAATGTCGATGCTTACACTCAGGAGTGTGTCAAAGCGATCTTCTGACCAAAGGAGACGGTAAGCTCCCGCTACTCGAATGATTTCACAAACTCTCTGATTAGTATTACACCGCATCAGGTCAGGTCACATAGTTTAAACAGTTCAACGATGAAAGATTGAAACCAGGTGGTTTCATGTATTGTGACATACGCGTTAAAGCCATCTTTTTTTTTTCCTTCAAAAAAAAAAAATCAAAATCAAAGCCCCCCCCCCCCCCCCGCAAAAATAAAGTAGTATATATTCATTCACATTTCACAGGTGGTGGTGCTAAACTAAACTAGGTGCCTTCTCTTTTGCCTTCCCTTTCCAAGATTGCTCTGTCTTTTTCATCAAATTCACAAAATGGGTTCGTTTGTTTCAAGTCTTGGTAACCCAATGGCCGATCAAAACACCGGAACTTACTACCGGCAACTGTTCACAAGCTTCTCCGAAAACTTTATGGCTGCCTGGCGCAACATTTCCGACTTTCTCTCTAAATTTGAGCTCCCCGCAGCCATTTTCCCTAATGACATCTTCGTATCCACTATGACGGCCATCCTTGCACTTCTGCAGCTAAAATATCACCAGGACGGCTCAATGAACCCGTTTGAATCGCACCCCATAATTTCCGCGCTTGCCATTACTAGTTTGCTCCTATATGGCTTAGCATACAGCACTGAAATCAGGCTTTCATCCCATCCTCCTCGCTATTCCAAGCGTTTCATAAATGTTGTTCGCTTCAGCCTGTTGCTCACTGGTTGCTCTTGTTTAGCTTCCATGGCATCATTCCTGTTCCCTCAATCGGTTAGGCCTCTTATATTTGCATTTTTCTTCATAAGGCTGGCAGCTGAAATGCTGTATTGGGTTTATCCAAAATTTCATCAGGAACTTGGAACATTTCACGGAGGATGGAGGCGCATCCGACAGAGCTTCATAGGCATCTGGAGGCGCATCACTCAATGCTTTACTAATCGGGCCCCAATTCTTCCACTTTGACCACATAGATTGTTTGCCTACTTGGAGTTGGAGTGTTACAGCTACAGAGATCCACATGTTTCTTTTTTCCTTCCATTAATATTGTTTACTTGAAGCGATTTTTACATCAGTGGCGACGGAGTACACCAAGAATGTAATAAAAAAAACAAGCAATATTGCTACCTTTGAGCCCCAAAAAAAATTGTAGGAACGTGAATCAGACACTTAAAAAGTCTTTATAATTATCAAGCTTGTCATTAATGGGGGTGAGTCCGTTAATTGTAACTGGAAAACAAAATAATAATCATACTTTTTCTCTTTTGTGCAACACATGCACTACCACAGGCATTAAGAACCAGAAAGAAGGGACTGCTCTTCAAAAAAAACAAAAGAAAGGACACATGCATCACCGCTGATTGATTTTTCTTCCCATGAATTCCTTCCTTTTTCTAAAAGAAAAAATAACAAAAGAAACCAAGTCATCAAACAGGCCTTTAAGGACCACATTACTTGTTTAAGCAAGCGATTTAAAACTCACAAGACAGTTCCAAGTATTTAGTCCAAAAATGAAATGTAAAACCTATAGATATTCAACCTGTAATCAACACAGAAATACTGTTCTTGCTTTTCATATCAAAGGTGTTTAACTGTTCTGGCTTTTCATATCACAAACCAGACCCAATAATTGTCAGAGTACATCAAAAAACCCAAGACAAGATACAGTTGTCATGGTAAAGAAACCCAAATGACCCATTGGAAGAGATGACAAAACTAACATATCAGCTATTTCTAAACATCATTTATCTTCACTGTCTTGATCTTGACTCTGCTCGTCTAGCTTCATCTGGCGTTGAAGGGAACAGCTCTATGTACCGTGTACCAATCAATTTGTTGTCCCTACACATGGCTTTCTTGGCCTCCTCAGCAGAACTAAACTCAACATATGCTTCTCCAGTAGCTTTTCCATCATGACGATACCCAATATGCACTTTGTCATCTGTCAGATTAAAGTCTCCAAAAAACTTCACAATATCTGACTTCTTCACAGAGTAAGGGAGGCCACGCAACTTCAGCACCTCAGTATACTCCAACTTATCCTTGTCAAGAGATCTCTTTGGACGAGGAGGCGGCGTTCCATGATAGTCATCATAACCACCATCATAATGCATCTCAGCAGCTATAGCATGATAATAATCCTGCTTTTTGCACCTGAAAACTTCCACATATCTCCTTCCCATGTTCTGCCTATCTCTCTGAAGAGCAAATTCAGCCTGCACAGGAGAAGCAAAGACAACAAAAGCCTCCCCAGAAAACCGTCCACCTTTGCTTACCAGGAAAACATCCACAATGTCCAGCCCAGCAAAGAACTTGAAAATGTCAATATCTGTGCAGTCGAATGGAAGACCCCTCAGACGAACCACAGGAAACACAGAGGACTGATATCCACCGCCAAAGCCATAACCGCTTGAACCGCTGCCAACTGCGAAGTAGGGATTCGATTCCATCATTCTTGGTCTCTTTGAGCCGATCTCGTACCCGTCCGAAACCCCCCCGCTCCCCAACATTGCCCTTCAATTATTCATACCCAACAAAAAGGAGAAACCCCCACTCAACCTTGTTAATAAAACCAAACCCAACCCATGATGTTCCTAAAACCTAGAAGTCATACTCCTATTTTGCCTACAAACAATTTATTCATACTTAAAGCAACCCACCTTTGAACAAAAAAACACATACTCATATACACTTACCTATAAAAATAATAACACAAATACAACCAGAACAGGGAATATTTGAAATGAGAACGCGAACCTATATTAACCATGATTAGAATTGCTTCTTTATGCAAAATAAGATCCCCGAAACATCTATTGATATGCCACATTACCAGGGCAAATGACAATTAGCTGACAACGTAACAGATGAGGCTAAATGTGAATCATTGTGCAGGGAGCTCGTGCAGGTAATTTAGTAACTAAAACCAAAATTTATTTTATACTTGCAAACCTGAAACACTTTTTTTTCTAAAATTTCATATAAAAATTAACTAAAGAAAGCAATCAGTTATTCACAAGTCAGGACCAAACAAGAAAAAAGAACAGCTTAAGAAGCTTCATGCATAGGAAATTGATTAATGATCTCCAAAAAAATCCCAAAGTTTGTTAAAAAATTGACAACCACCCTAAATTCCCAAAGAATGTAACATATATTATTACATATATATTTTTCCTAATTCTAAACTAGCTAATGGGCCTGGGAAAATAGGGAAAACAAACAGCAGGTCATTTGTTTTATTGATTCCATTCAAAAGCTTTCGATACCTTTTGATTTAAAAACATGGAATCAAAACCAAACCCAGGACAAGCTGATAAAAATCAGAGGGGAAAAACCAACAATCAGATAAAAATCAAAGAGAAAAACCAACAAAGAAGAACCCCCCCCCCAAAAAAAATTTGTACCATACCACAAAAACAGGGCAAACATGATATATAAAACAATAAAATTTGACATTTTTTAATGTTTGTAGCAAGATTCTGAATAGGTTTTTCCGTTTCCGTTACAACATAACTTTTATTCCCTAGCAGTCAATCCTAAGGAAAAGTCGAACTAAACCTAAATCAAGCAGCAAACAATTAAAGAATTAAACCTAAATCAAGCAGAATATACAGAAAACCCGGAAATCAGATTCCATGACATACATCAATTATTAATCCCTTCGTAAACCAAAAAAAGAAAGAAGCAAAGCAGCCCACTACATAACGATTTTAATCCACAATCACTGACATAACACATAAAATATCCAGAATGAACCAAAAATCTGGCTTAGAAGCTTACCCCCTTGATCCGTACATGGCTACAGAATCTTCTTGCGAAGTCCTCCTCCGGAGAGAGAAAAAAAAACCCTAGAGAGAACAATCACGCGCGATGACACTGATCGTAATTTAGAAATATGCCCAGCTGGCGAATGTGATACTGTCATAAATACCTGTTCCCGCTGATTCTTTAGTCATTTACATAAATACCCTTATAGCTATTACACATAATTTAACACATAAGGGTAATTTAGGAAGTAACTAAAGACTGGAGACAAAAGGTCTTTCTTCGGTCTCACGACACCGTTTTGAACTGTCAAATAAGGAAAATAAATACCGTAGTTCATCAAACGTGTTAATTCTTGGAAACACAATATAGTATTATTAAATTTAGGAAAGTTACCCATTAAACTGAGACTGAGAAATCTTTCTGACCTCTCAAACTTGGCCCAGCAGTTTGCCTTTCACCCTACTATTACTACATATAGATAGTACACTAATCAACAAATATTGCTCCGTCTTTTTTCAGTTGTAGTTTTGCTCTGCAGCCTCTCCTTTCTTGCGTGTAAGAAGAAATATCGTTGACAAGTAAGAACTAGAAAGAAGGCTTTCAACTTTCAAGGATGGTGGCAATGGCTGCCAATTCAGGAGAGGAGAATCGGGGGAAGGAAGACAAGAAAAACAAGCGCATTCATCCTACCATGAGAGCCAAAAAGCAGAGCTTCAGGAAAAGAAAAGACTGTGTTCTGAAGAAAAGTATGGAACTCTCTGTTCTTTGTGATATCAAGGTTTGTGCTATTGTCATTGATGCAAACGGGAAGGTTGAAACTTGGCCAGAAAACAAAGATGATCTGATGAAAATTGCTAAGTTGTACAAGGATTCTCTTGATAGGAAAGATGGCTGTGATAAGAAGAGGGCTGTTGAAATTGAATGCGGGCAGGAGGCTACCTCAGAAGCTGCTGATCAGCATCAGATCACTTTGCATCCGCAGCATGAATGGGAAGACACTGAAAGTTGGATTGAGGGATTATTAGGACCATCAGAGAACGGATTCTTGAGTGACATAAATGTTCCTATGAACGATGATATCATATGCCTGCCTGCTGCCCTGTATCAGGATTCTTGTGATGGAAAAGATGGGAAGGAGGCTAACTCAGAAGTTGCCGGTCGTCAGCTTATTTCGCATTCCCAGCACGAACCAGAAGAAATTGATAGTTCCATCGAGGGATCATCAGCGGACGAATTCTTGAGTGACATCAATGACCCAATGAATGATAACATGCCTGCCTGCTGCACTGGTTGCGCGTGACGACGAACAAGCAATGGAACCAGGAATTATGGATGATCAGATCAATCCCTGGTATTTTTGGTGTAATACTACCATCTGATTTGCATGTATCACATTAAAAATTTTTGTTGCTTCAGAGTTTAGATTATTTGTTTCAGGTTATTAGTCATAATCTAACTTTTCCTTTGACTTTTAAATTAGGATTTTTTTTTTTTTTTTTTGGGGGCTTCTGCTTATGGCTTCCAAGAGTAGTATCTTATCTTATGCATTCAGGAACTTTATTAATTAAATAAATAAATATGTATTCAACTAATTGTGACCAACATGACATTGGGTGAAACTTTCTCGCAAAATTCAAGAATAAACGCTGCATGCTTTAGTTTTATACCAACATTATTTACGCACATTTGTTCTTTACTAAGAATAAACACTTCCTTCAGGTGAGATGTTTCCGAGTTTCTTGTTTTTGTAAAATATAAGATTAATTAGAGAGTTTAATTAGAGAAAGAAAATAAATATAAAGATGGTAGGTAAGATTAAATATAAAAAAGTATATAAATGCAAGAGAGGGGTAATTATCAATATATATATATATATATATATTGAACAGGTCAAAGCAGATTTTGCTTGGTTGACAATTAAACTACATCAACTTAAGTACTATTTATGATCAGCGTGGGGAGAATCTTTAAAAAAAAAAAAAAAATCAAAGTGTGGGGAGAAGGTTATGGAGTATATATACCGTCTCCCGTAAATAATTAAACTAGAGGTTTCCGAACTTGCTTCAATTTGACATCTACAATACCAAACAAGATTTAGAAGAACTTCGTCCGAAGCAATTTACCAATACACTGAATTGTGGATACGCACAACGGTGAAAAAAGAAATAAACAAAAAACTCAAATTTCTCAAAATAAGCTTTGTATCTATAGCCAATTTCCTGCTCTGCTTTAGAACCTCAGACCTCGCCCGGCCGCCTGCTTAGCAAATCTACTTGAATACTTTTCGGCTGATAATCTTGCTAACCCTGGAAGAAACTATTAGCCAAGGTATAATCCCAACCTGAAGTTGTAATAGACAAGTAATCAGAAACCTCATAAAGGTAAAAACCTAACTGCATTCATGGACTAAACAATAATTTTCATTTCCACAACCCTCTGTAACCTGCCTGCCCAACCCAGGAGGAAAGACCGGAAGTTAAAGATGCAAAGAAATGACATCGAACAGAAGTGTGACAAAGAATGAAAAGACTAAATCGAGCTGCAGGTGTAATTAAGGATTGAGTTGATGACTTATAATACAGGCTCGAGTATAACTCAAAAGGCACAGGAAAAAGTTGGAAGTATATGTGACAGACTGGTAACCCTATGGCGAGGCAGCAAGCATCTTGATCAACACGCAGCCAGATAAAATTTATGATTCTAATAGACCATGCTTCGAACAATATACTGTTAGTCTAACGGCCATAGATGGAGAAATTTATTGCTCCCATGGTCACGAGTTTTACGCATATACAACTATCCACTCTTTGCATGCCCTCCTAATGCCTTAGAAAAAGTGTTCCCCACAGCCTTGAAAGGGTTCAACTCAAGACAGTAAACTGTGAACTTAAAGCATGCATCAGACACTAATGCAATTCTACTTTCCAGATATTGTACTGTATTTTAAGGCCACAATATGAAAATTGCTCTATTTACCATGACATTGTCGTTTACAGAACCTCCAGCCCTCCACGACAAAATTTTACCTGAAAGGAAAAGAAGTATTTCACCAAATCAACGTTGCACTTAATTCATCAACCAATAAATGGATATTATTGTCTAAGTATTCAAACATGTAGGAGCAAATTAATTCTTTTTGAACAAAAGAGGTGATCAGCACATTTCAAATGCCATTTGGGTGTACATTGCAAATGCTATAAAAAAAATCGGCATAAGAGTATTTACCAAAAGGTTGCACAAGTCTCTCAGATATGGCAGCTACAGGGATCCTCCAAAACCAAATAATCAACACAGCATATGTAAAAACCTGTAACAGTTAACTAGTTACCAAAAATTTAAGACCTCTTGGACATCAAATTCTTCATCTATGAAGTATTACCTTTACCATCTTCAGGACCTTTGCGTGTGAGTCGTATGACGATTTCATTACATTGCTATGCATTTCTTGAACTGCATACCACATAAAGCAACACATCAGCTTCCCATTACTCAAGGAACATCATATCCATGCTTCCCTTAAAAAATAAGCAATGCAGGCTACATTCTAAGTAAAGGAAAAATAACAACTAAAGTAGCAAAGAACTCAGGATGTGATTAATTCAATGAGATTACTTGGAAACTGGTTATGCAAGAGAACAGAGGCAAAGAAAGGACGAACAAGTTAGTCTCATCATTGGCCTACTGACACCTGAACAATTTTCCCTAGGCCTACCGTGTGTTTTATTGGTTAGTCCCAAGATACCATATCAGAAACATTCAAAAACTTCATTCTAACAATTTCAGGTTCATAATATATATTTGGAGAACCAGCAGAAGAATGAGAAGTAAATGTGTTGGTGAAAACCTCAGAATAAACCTCAAAAAGTGACTTCTGGTCAAAAGGCTGACTTTAAAAGCCTAAGCTTCCGATGTAACACTTACACCTACCCTCCTTTCCTCCAACTAAAAAGAAACACTGGACCTACTCCATAGCAGAGACATAGATAGAATTGTAACTTGTGCTGTAATCCTAGCCAAAGCCTAGTAGGCCACATTGTCAAAGGTTCCATGAGTCCCAGGTAGTATTTAACCAAGAAAACTTAAAAAGATTTGTTTAAACGAGTCCCCCATAATCAGGTGATGTTTTGCAGTGAATTAGAAGGCTCTCAAAACCTGCTTCTGACTTCAGGGTGTACTGAAATATCAGATATTTCACCAAGAAAGGCACCTTCTTTGGAAAGAAAAAGAAAAATAAGTAGAACTCAAGTTAAGAGGCAGACTCTTTTGAAGAGAACGTTGTAGAAATTCTGGAGTATTGTCCACCTTAAAAACATCTGATTTTGAAAACTGATAAAGTAATTCCTTATTGCCCATAAGAAGTGGCAAGAAACCATCTCTGTATCTTTGCATTTTTCAGAAGTTCAAAAATCAGTTTATATATGTTTGTTATTTTCTACCCAACTGGAAGAAAACAATTAAAAGACAGATGCCTGGGGATCTATAAAGCAGGACCACAGAAGCAAGATAAGTCATTTGTCTATCTCTGTCGTATCTCTACTTCAAACGGAAAAGGATTAAATAAGAACATAGCTGACAGACATCTAAAGTTCAACCAATTGCATACCTTTCGTTAGCTCCTTCTCCTTAGCTGCTGCCATCCTCCTGAGTTTTGCAGCTTGTGCAAATGTTGAAGGCCTGAAATAAACATAAAATAAGAGTTCCACCTTGTTATAAGTACAAGGAATGAGCACCCAATACAAAACAACTTCTACAGGACACAAACGCCAAAGAAACCAAAAAGACCGAAAAAGGGAACATGTGCAATAACCCTGGAGAACTGAGGGATTCACCGACCACATGGAAAAGAAATTAAAATTTATTAGTAAATTTATTAGTTGTCAGAACCATAAGAGTCTTGAACCTCCAACTGTGACCATCTGTGGCAGTAATATTAATGATAGAATGTGCATTAAATTTCAAACAGAAACCATGCGTTCTAGTGTGCATTAAATTTCAAACAGAAACCGTGCGTTCTAGAGTTTCTGTTGCCAAGCTTTTTATAAGCAAAAGTTGGTCAGATAAAACTATTCTTCTAAGCACCTACACTTGTTCAATAGAAGTAAATTGGTTCAACGATCCTTTAGCAAACCAAACTTTCATGCATTAAATTTGAATTATCATATGCATCATTTCATACTTAGGACAATAGGTCTAAAAACTCAAAAGAGAAGGGCATTAGAAACACAATGAACAACACAATGAACTTAAACCAACTGAGGCTGCTTGCAAAGAAGACTCATGATACAAAATAAGCACTTACTAGGTAGTTAACCACAAGAAAATAAAGATAAGAGCGATCAAAGGCCTGTTAAAGAACTCCTAATACAAAAGCAAGGTTAGAAGCCGACCACACTTGGATAGAACTCATTGTACCAAACTGAAAGGAAGCAGTAAGCAATACTAAACCACATGGGCAACTATCAGGGACAGGCAGCAATAGAAATGATAGATTTATGAAGGTGAATGAATAAAACTGTAGTAGTAGAACGCACTGGTGGTAACCCACCATCAAGTTCACATAACAAAAATCTCATGTACGTTTATGGGTGACTGCAACGGTTTCTCCATGCTATCCCGCAAAGCAATCAAGCTAAGATATAAATCATAAACAATCAACTTGAGTCTCAAAATGCCAATAATCAAATATCTAATCACACTTGCAAAACAAAATACAACCTCAAAATTTTGAAACTAAATATTTCTTCACAAAAATTCACACACCAAAAATGCCGAAATTAATCGACCCTATAGAACTATTAAACTAGCACTACAGCATCTTAATGAAAAAGCAGCCCTCACCCTGAATAGGAATTAGCTTCCTTCAATAGCTTATTAATCTCTTCCCGCAGCTGAAGCTCTTCATCAGTCTTAATTCCTTTCTGGATACCAATATTTTTGGGAAAAAATGATAGCATGATCAGGAAAACTTTTAAATTAAAAGTGTCAATTTAGCATAAATTTCTTCATAGCTTAACACGAAAAGCATAAGGTCATTATCAATTACGAATAATATCATCCCTAATTCATGGTCTCAACTTTTGAGAAAAGAAGACAGTATATTAATTTGCCAGCAGTTAATGCTTACCCAAAACAATAGAATTCGTAAAATTGATTTGCTAGAAATTTACTAAAATTGCATACCTTCTTGTTGAGTTCGAGATATCTGGAGAGCAGCTGGAAAACCACAACAATGAGGAAAACCAACGGAGCTGCCAGAGATTTTCCATGTTCTTCCAATCCTTCCGCCATTTCTCTTTCGAA